GATATTGAACATATTTTCATATGTCTATTGGCCATCTGCATGTCCTTGTTGGAGAAGTGTGTATAGTTCTTTTGCCCATTTTTAATTGGATTGTTTGTTTTTATGCATGTTTAGTTGTATGAGTTCTTTATAAATTTTGGATATTAACCCCTTATCAAATATATCACTGGCTAATACGTTCTCCAGTTAAGTGGGTTGCTTTTTATTTTGTTGATGGTTTCTTTTGCTATGCAAAAACTTTTTAATTTGATGTAGTCCCATTCATTTATTTTTTTCTTTTGTTATCCTTGCCTGAGGAGATATATCAGAAAATAATATATATTACTAAGAGAAGTGTCTGAGTTTTTTTTTATCCTCACCCTAGAATTTTTTTTCCACTGCGTTTCACAGTGAGTGGAAGGGAGAGAGACAGAGAGAAGCATCGATGTGAGAGAGACACATTGATTGGCTAGGGCCAGGGGACCATGGATCGAGGCATGTGCCCTTGACCAGAATCTAACCTGAGACCCTTCAGTTCTCAGGCCAACACTAACCACTGAGTAAAACAAGCTGGGCATAAGTGTCGAAAATTTTAATGCTTATATTTTCTTCTAGGAATTTTATAGTTTTGAGTCTTACATGTATGTCTTTAATCCATTTTGAGTTTATTCTTGTATGTGGTATAAGAAGGTGGCCTAGTTTCATTTTTTGCATGTTTCTGTCCAATTTTCTCAACATCATTTATTAAATAGACTATCTTTACCCCAATTGTATGTTCCTGCGTCCTTTGTCATATATTAATTGACCATGTAGGCTTGGGCTTATTTCTAAGCTCTCTATTCTGTTCCATTGATCTATGTCTGTTTTTATGCCAGTACCATGCTGCTTTGACTACTATGGCTTTGCAGTGTAGTTTCATACAGGTAACATGATGCTCCCAATTTTGTTCTTTTTCAATATTGCTGTGGCTATTTGGGGTCTTTTGTGGTTCCATATGAATTTTTAAATTATTTGTTTTAGTTTTGTAAAATATACCATTGGTATTTTGATAAGAATTGTGTTGAATTTATAGATTGCTTTGGGTAGTATGGACATTTTAATGATGTTAATTCTCCCTACCCACGAGCATGGCATATGCTTCCATTTATTTGTATCTTCTTTAATTTCTTTCTTCAGTATCTTATAATTTTCTGAGTATAGTACTTTTACCTCCTTGGTTAAATTTATTCCTAGTTTGGTTTTTTATGCAACTGTAAATTGGATTTTTTTTTAGTTTCCCTTTTGACTAGTTCATTATTGGTATATAAAAATGCAACCAAGCCCTGGCTGGTGTGGCTCAGTTGTTTAGAGCATCATCCTGTACACCAAAAGGTGGTGGGTTCAGTTCCCAGTCAGAGCACTTATTCAGCTTGCTTGTTCAATACCAGTTGGGGCACCTGTGGAAGGCAACCTATTTCTCTCTCTCTCTCTTCCTTCCTCTCTCTCTCTCCTTTCCTTTCTCTGAAATCAATTTTTAAAAATGCAACTGATTTCCAAATATTTATCCTTCCTATGTTTCTTTTTGCAAATATAAGTAAATAGTTTTCTTAGACAAAAGTACAAACACATACAAATATATATATACATATATGTCATATATTCTTTTATACCTTGATTTTATCACTTATATTCTGAAAATCACTCATATCGGTTCATAGAGACCACCTTCATTGTTTTTTTGGCTGTATATTGTTTCACTGTGTAGACATAACAGTTTATGCAACGTTTCCTATGGGTAGACATGTAAATTGTTTAGCATATTTTGCTATTAAAAATAATTCCACAACAAATAACACTGTACATGTGTTTTTCCTTTTTGTGGAAGTGTATCATTAGGTTAAATTCCTAGAAGTGGGACTGCTGGGTCAAGGAGTGAATGTATTAAGTGATTTTTTTAGATATTACCAAATTCCTCTCCACAGGGGTTGCACCATTTTCAACTTGAGCTAGCAGTGTATGAGAGGGCAATACATGTCTGTAGACAAAGAAGAGCATTTTCAAAAACTGTTAATGTTGTCCCCAGAAAAATGCATAAAACTCCTTGTCTGTAAAAAGAAATTAGGAAATCATAGGAGAAAATACATTGAGATATACATGGCACAAATAAAAAATGAGTTGAATAAAATAAGAACTTAATGTTCAAAATCCTAAACTGAAAAGGCATAGTCAAAATTTGCAGTAGAAGCAGTAAAGAATAGAATTAGAACTGTCAAAAATTAAATCAGAAATATGAAGGATAAATTTGATTAGCTCTCTCAGAATTCAGAGGAAAAGGACAAGCATGATAAAAGACATAGAAATGTGCTCTAATATAATTATAGGTGTTTCTCAGAACCACTTAAAACAGACTTGAGTCAAAGAAAGGAAGGCAGAGCAAAGCAGAATAAATATTAACTTATTTAAGGAAAAAATAATAATATAAAACAGACACAACAATCCATGTAGAAGAAAACTGTCCTAGCATGAGGATTAATAAGAACTCCAAATTAAAACTCCACAAATTGAAAGGATTCATGATAGATACTACACACACATATATGCATACATGCATGCTTATGCATGTGTTTGCATGCATACATAGACTCATATTATCCACAAAAAAATGTTTAATTTAGGGATAACTAAAACAGTGTCCTACAAGTATTCTGGAAATAAAGACATTTCTTTTAAAGATGTTAAATAAAACTGCCAAATATAAACTTTCTAGATTAATATTCAGGAATAATTATGACCCTAATTAAATTAACCAAGACAGGTTTTAATTGATGAAATAATTCTAAAATTCATTTAAATATATAAAACTATATTTACATAAAGAGTATGTAAGAACATCATAAATAATTTGTAAAGAACAGTTTTGGGAAGAGACTAATCCTTCCATCTGTTAATGTCTACTGTAGAGCAACAATAAATCAATCAATGTGGCATTGATGGCAAAGTGGCAAGAATAAGCAGGTCAATATAACAGAAGAGATGGCCAAAACCAGATCTCAGTATTTATATTAGATAAGGTAAAACAAGACTGTGGAGACTGGAAGGATTTTTCAACAGTTTTATGATAATTGGTTAACTATTTGGGTTTGTGAGGGTGTATTCAGATCCTCATAATACAGCATATAGCGTAATACATACCACTGGATTAGGATTAAATAATTAAATTTAAAATATCAAACCATCAAAAAACAAAAGAAGATGGATTTTTTTCCTTCAGGTCTCTTAAGTTTAAAAACAATGGACGAAAGCACTGAAGGATAGATATATGCACATCAGATAAACTTAAAATTTCTGTATATCTAAAATACCATAAACAATACTAAAGTATAAAATGGAATAAACTCTTTGCAGTGAAAATATCAGGTGATGGGTTAACATATTATTAAAGCACTTATAGAAATCAAGTACAGAAAGGCATTAACTGACCATTCACAGCAGAAGAAAATGAAATGGCTAATTATATTATTACTGATAAATAAATTGACTACTTAGTCATAAGTCTCAATTCCTTTTCTTAAAACTGGATAAAGAAAACAATAAATCTATACAAAAGCTCTTAAAACTAGATAAAGAAAAGAATAAATCAATATTTCCTTACAGTTTGTTCAGCAGGATGTTGTTTGATACAGAATGGGGTGAGGGGTGGGTGGGAGATATGTTTATAGGTGGGAACGGATATTAGTTAATTTCCTAGTGTTCTCATTATTTACTTTGAATCCAAGTCATAATTCCACCTATTTTTGAGGGTTTAGCGATGACAAACTCAGCTCTATTGAGAAAGAGTGGAAATTTAAGGGATAAAACTAGCAAGACAAGAGGCTGGGTGCACAGTTAAATATGCGCTCTAAATATTCCTCTTTTCAGTAAGGGGGAATCGTGTGGTTTTTGTTTTGTTTTGTTTCTGCACCTTAGCCATCCGTTGACCTTCGCTTTTAAACTGCAGATCCCGCTTAATCTGCGATAGCTGAGTCCTTAATTTTCTCGACTACTTGCTTCAATTTTGGTTAAGCAACCCGGCTTGAAAAAAACTCACAGAAAACCGGTAATTGCCACATCTCTCCCAGTGACTGTTATCACTTCACCCCGCCCCCTCGCTAAGGAGGGTAGGAGGCTGCGCAGACCTCACCCGGCCCCTTGTGATGTCACAAAGGAGCCAAACCAAGTGGAGCGGCAGGCCTGCAACTTTACTATCCAGGTCCACTTCCTTAAAGTACCCGCTTCCTGAAGCCTACCCTGGCCCAGTCTCCTTTTAGTTAAACTGTAAGAATAAAAGCACCCGGTTGAAACCCTTACGCGGCCACG